ACAATGGAGGCTATTTGGCTTGCCCAAGCGGCTTTGAAAGCTCAAGAGAAAACATCCCAAGCATCCTGAACTCTCAACATCCACAAAATCATATGGAGAATGAAAAAGATGTTTGGAGAACCTCATTAAATACAGAGCACCTTGATATGGTCTACCCCAATGAGGAAAATCTTGGAAGGAAAGAGCTTTTCAAGAATTCAGACTCACCATATCAAGAGCAAACACATCCAAGCGTCAAATCTAAAGCCAGGCTGTCTGAGAAATCCTTTATACATGAACACACAATGCCCAAAAGACACAAAAGTGTGCAGCCAGATTCCAAACAAATAGCAAAAGAAACAACTGATGATAGAGAAATAGGTGGACAATCTCAGATTTATGTCCCTAGAGAATTCACAGGACATGCTGAACTTGAAGAAAGACCATCTGACTCATTCAAATTCAATTCAGAGAGAGATTTGCACAAGACCGTCAATGTTTTTGGGAAGAATAAGAATTTCATTCCTGAGAGCATGCAAAATGAAATCAAGATGTGGTTTGATCAACTACAACATGATCTCTTTCAAAGACTTAGATTGGGAGGGTTTGATTCATTGGTGATTGATAGGATCAGTGGAGCACTATCAAAAGGTATCTTGAAGATGGGGATTGAATTGACAACTTTCTTCCTCACCAGTCTGAAGCTTCTTCACAAAAAACATGCTCAGAACTTTGAACATTGGGACTACATAATCTTAGAGGATGGATGGACTTTTGTCAAAAACATCTTCATCCAGTGGATGATGCTAGACCCTGAACAGATCTGTGGACATGTGATTTCAAGACCCACTGATCATCTTAATCATCTTGAACCTTCTTCTCTGTATGGCTGTATGCTATATAAAGATCTAGATGATATCACAATGAACATTTCCTGGGATATGTGGAAGAAATGGTACAGAGAATCAAAAGTACCTTATAAAAGGTTTATCGCAACTAGGAATAATTTTGAGCAACAGATTGAAGTGTCAATTTGCAATGATGATGTATACAAGTCACCCAGAACAGAAAAGTCAAGAATTGAACTCTTACAACCAATAGATGGCCATGAATATCATCAAGATCTTTTTGATAGCCATTTCCTTAAGTTTCCTAGGTTTTTGAGTATGGATCCTGCCTTCCCACCACAGAGGAGGGATTTTGTTTACCTAATTCAACATCTAGGTGAACTTGAGATAGAACTCTTGGAACATCATGAACCAGTTGTAGAATGGTTTGAAAAACTGGCAGAAGATCTCAGAGCCCAACTTCTAATACCTGGGATTCATCATAGAAGTCCAGTGCGGGTAATTTCCAATTGTGTCAAAAGCATATTGACCAGGTTGCTCCCAAAATTTTTTGGTCTGCTTAAGATTATGGAGGATCCAAAACCTCATTTACTAGCAAAGGAAGTAGATCCAACTGTGTTGAGGGGATGGGAGTTCATGAAAACCTATCTAGATCATTGGAGACATATAGATCTTGGGAAGGGTCTACGCAATCCAACTGCACGGTTCGATTTGGGAGATTGTCACTCCGGAGAAAGCTATGCATTATTTTTGAAGTTTCTGAAGAGAAAAGCATGGCATGTTCCATTTGAAGATGTTTGGAAGCTCTACTATCTTCATACCACATCTCCTTTGCTTCAATTGAGTCCCAGGGATACTAGAAAGCAAGCATCAAGTTTACAGAAGGAGCTTAAGAAAAGAGTTTTGAACCTGAAGAACAGTTTGGACACGAGGCACAGAGTCTGTTGTCAACAGAAAAGACAGCTACTTAAGCCTCAAATAGTTCTTTGCAATTTGAGTTGAACTCATGAGGATCCAAGAGCTTATTACATCATCTGTATCACCAAAACTCCAATTCTATTCTTCTTCCCCTAGATTGGATACAACAATCATATGTCAAATCGATTCTCATGAAGACTTAGCATATGTTGAATTGATTCTCATCAAGGCTGAGTAAAGTTATTTTGTTCATCTCTACCTGCCAAAACAGTGATGGTCACTAAATTATGGAAGCTAAAATGTGACTCTCAATTCAAAGAAGGCCAGTTTGGTTGAGAGAGAGTACCCGGTTTTCTCAAAATTTGTCTTCCTTTACAGAAAATGTGCTATAGGGAAAGTTTGAGTTCAGCATTGATTACTTAGAGCTGAGTGTAAGTTCTTTCCCTGAGTGTGTTGTCTGATTCATGAAGCGTGAATATTTTTGGAATTCTCTGTATGGTGAAACATCACCTCTTTTGCATGCTTTAATCATAAATGGCCTATCTCAACATGAATACATGAGAATATATCAGGATACATGTGCAATAGACTGCATTCCATCAGAGAACCCGTAGGCATACCAAGACTCACAAACTTTCTCTGAGTCATGGTCATAATTGGACTCAAGCTGACCAAGGTCAAGATCACCCTTCTGTTCCCTCAAAAGTGAGTACTTGAGGTAATGAGTTTTGAGTAACATAAAGATACACGTAAGACTGAGTACGGAGAGCCAAGGTAGGCCAAAATCTGTGTCATAGAAGATGTCGGAAGAAAGCGTAACTCGACATTCACTTTTTGATCATGTACAGTTTGATAAAACAACGTCAGCCCATTGGGCCATGAGTCCATGAGTGAGTTTCTGTGGGTGATTGGGGATATAATACTAGGAGGGATCACAGAGTAGTCATTAAAATGGTTGTACATGGATGATTCCAGAGATAAAATACTTACGAGGTAAACGTCTGGGTTTTGACACGCCCCATCTAGACTAGTGGCACTCTTAAGACACGACTCAGCGGATTCGTACCTGGCATACAAAAAGTCTTGCCTGATCAGAATTGAGGGCACGCAAAGGACTACTATGCCAAATAGACTTACCCAAAAGACTGGGGATCTGCATTTATAGCAGAGTAGAGCGCGGAGAAATCGACATAAGCAAATTGTATGGATGGAGTTTGGGCCTTTAAACTCTTCAAACCATTCCAGATGATATTGTTGAACTCTGGGAATAGACCAGAAGCCTTTGGAGGTGCTGTAGGCCGTTTCAAGACAAGGTTCATCAGCCTCAAAAAAGAGACATACAGCGCAAAGTGAAGATCAGAGAAAGGCCTGACAAAGAACAACCACATTTTGGATCCCAGCCTGTATGAGAAGTTCGGTTTGGCTAATGAGCTCTTGGGCTGAGCTTGATAGGGATGTAGCGCCACGACGAGAGGCCGAGACCCCATCATTGATCCCGTAGCAAATCATTGCAATCGACCTATTTCCAATAAGAAATCATCAGTGCAAAGGCTGCATTCTACAAATGATCCAATTCCACGACTCACGAAGCTGCATCGATCTGATTTTTCTGGTCTAAGAATACCTGGACGTGTTCAATCATGTCTGATTGTTCTTTCTACAACACGAAGAAAAGGTTGAAACTACTGAGAAAACGAACGCGTTTGTGGAACAGGAGAAATCTAGTGAATAGGATGGATAGCTCACTGCAGGCGGCGTGAGTTTGCTTGAGACTATCGCGCCCCCTCTAGCATAATCCCTAACGAGAGCGCCGAGTTCATCACCCAGTTGCTCGATCCATATAAGCCCATTGGAAGCACGGCCACTAGTGCAAATCAACCGAGCTTGGGTTCAATCCCTTTCATTTCACAGGAGGTCAATCACTTACCCGTATTTTGGGTCTTCAGAGTTTGGCACAGCTGGTAATGGAGTACTTCCGGTCTTTTGTCCATTGCTCATCCAGCTATCGCCAAACCCGTATATTGTCTGAAAATTGGTTTGTACAAGTTTACTGTCAGTCTTGGAGGTTAGATTGGTGTTTACATTATGAGTACAAGCACTTTGATTGTTGTCAGGTCAATACCTGAGTTAAAATTGTTGAATTGAGACGAGTCGAGAGCTCCGCAAGTTGGTTGAGCAGCCAGTTTAAGAGGAGTTGTGTTAAATGCTTTTGCTCCTTCGTTGTGAAGTATGCCAATGAGTAAGATACCCAAGAGAAAAAACATTCGATCAGTCATGTTGCTCGACGACGCGAAGGGTTTGAGGAATCGACTGTAAACTGATTTTTGAACGCGACCAAACGACGAGAAAAAAATAGCTGGAGGAGTAAGGCATTCCAACCGACTACAAGGTAGTTTTAAATAGTTCTTGAGCTAGTGCGGATTTTGACGGAAGACACCCAAATCGTCTTTGGACTTTCTCCCACGGCTATGTAGATCCACCTCGACAGCTCTCGACAGCAAAAGTCTGTAAGTACTTTGTCAACTTGATTTAGAGTGGTTATCGACACATGATGGTCTGAGGAGAACTGGGCCTTGGGCTGGGGGATTTCCTCAATCCTTAATAAATTTGATTGAGACCCTGAAAGAGAAGACGCGCTACAGTGCGCCAAAAAATCAACATTCGTTAAAGTTGAAGACTCTGTTCGTAATCGTATACGCGTCTGAATGCTCGTGTTTGAAAAATCCATTGACATTCTGTGATACGAATGGCATTTATCTTACTTCATACTCTCAAGAGTGAGTTTCTTGAGCCCCGACCAATCACTTCTGACACAAGCATCGACCAGGAACGCCATCTACAACTCAAGTCAAAGAAGACGAGTTTGGTCAATATTACTTCTTCTCAGAAGATCTCCTTTTTCACCAATGCACAGTCCACCAAGCTTGACAAGAATTTGTGCACCTCTGAATTTTGCGAGCAAACCTCAGTCGAGCTTTCTCAATCGACTGCAGTCGTGGACGCTCATTTGTTTATCAGGCGTGACAGCGCAAGCTGGATATAGCATTTGTAGATAAGCATGTCAAGTTGATGGAATACCAAGACTTTAAAGTTTGCCACCTTTCATATAGGATAACACGTATGAGCAGAGAACTAACCTGGATATCTTTCGATAGAATTGGAGGATTTCATTCACTTTGCGAATTGTGAGCTCTTGTGATGCAAACGGTTGCATGACCGGGGCTTGTGCACGGTCCGCCCGGTCGAGTACATGCATTTGGCCACATCTTCATGCTGAGAAAAAGAATGCGAAGAACATGAACGTCAATGATGGAGCCGTCCATAAGTCCTGACAGTGAGACCAGCCTCACCTCCAAATCGCCATCGATTTCTCTAGTCCTGAGCCTGATAATCGGTTTACCTTTCACTTTGTATTCGGCCAAAGTTCAGTATCAACCCAATGAACTTATCTCGATATACGAATCTGACTCATTTGACTCGCTCAAATTATCCAAACACTGATAACTTGAATGAATATCGTCATAGTCATTGGCACTCATAATCTTTCAACGTCGAATCATTTATTTACCGTATCTTCCACCTAATTCTCGCCATCAACCATTGACTCCAACACATTTGCTCAACTCTCTGAAACATGACCTCGTCTACTTGCCTCCAACCCCTCTTTCGCCTCGACTGTCGGCCTTATACCTTCAACCGTCCAGCTGTTCTCCAGCTACTGACCTGGATGGAATAATCTATTATCTTCAAGGTCTTCCCCATCTTTTTTCGTTCCTATCTTCTCCGAAAGCTACCCCAAGATATATTTATGATCACCGGGTTTGGACATCCAATGTCTGTATGCTCATTGCCATTTTCGGATCCCTTCCTCTCCATCCTGAAGAATAGGTAATGCTGGAAACCCAATCGGTCGGCTCGATCTCTTCCGCCATCTTCTCCTACCTCCGTCGTCTTCTACTAAACCCATGAATCTCGGTATATTCGCTCTTGCCCCTCGAGGCTATTGGAATTCTTCTGGACCATTTCCATTCCCATTCACGTGCTTCAGTAGACCTTCTCATCGGCTTACTGAGGCGGGGGTTGTGATTGACTATCAACGAGGATTGAATCATTTGCTTGAAACAACGGATGCTCCAATTTGGCTCCTGGGGCATTCTCTCGGGGCTGCTGCTGCTGTTCAACTCCTTCATCGGGTTTCACTAACTGATCCAAAGGGAGACGTAAGATACAAGAGGATTAGGGGGATGATACTCGAGAATCCACTTCCATCCATCCGAAAAATGGTCAAAGTACTTTACCCATCCCCATATGTTCCATATCACTATCTAGGACCATTCGTACGAGATAAATGGGATACCATCAAAGCTTTTGAATCTTCACATCATTCGAAAAATTCAATATTTTCAACAATACCTCTCTTGGTACTTCAGAGTGAAAGAGACGAACTTGTACCACCTAGTTTGACTAGGAGAGTATATGAAGCTGCTATTGGAAAACCGATGGGACTGAAGAATGATCATCTGATTGGTAAGAATGTTATCCAGCGATATCGTTCCATTCCTAGAGCTTTACATGATGATGCGTATACGAAACCACGCTACCGGCTTGAAATTTTTCAGTTTATTAGAGACACCATTTCTTCTCATGGAAATTGACTTTAAATCTCCTGCTCATTTAAATCATCCGTAAAGTTTGTTATTTTTGATGTATTGAAAGATCTTTCTTACCCATATCAGGATTGACCAGAGAGCTGCTCAATTCTTCTGCGGGAGTAAAGACGCCCAAATCCTGAGTTGGTCCTCAAAAACTCCATCTAGTTTGAGACTTGTAGATGAAATATCTGCGAAAAATACCAGGGAATGTGGATGTACATGATGGTCAATGAGGCAATGGGATGAGGAAATGGTCAAGAGGATTTGGAGAATCGATATATGACGTCATATTGAATACTTGGGCCCCGTTTGCCCCACCGTGTGTAAGACATGTAACCTGTGAGCACTGATTAGTACGCAGCAACTTTCAGGGTAATGGTCATGTGTCACTTTGCTGATTACATAGTAATGATGTAGATGACTGTGTATTGTGACCACAAGATGTGTCTGAAGATGTGTACAATGACTGACTTTGAGCATAATGCTACTTGCAAGGTGATTGAAGAACAGGGGTGGGTACACTCACTTCTAGTGCCAAAGATACAAGTAGACCAAGAAAGAAAAATATCTCCCCGGTTGGAATTACACAACAGACTCTTGAATTTTTGATTTGGAGAATTCACTTGTTCACCTAAGATGCTACAGATAGCCAAAAGGTTTGGAATTATTCTTCAATTGGTTCTCCTTGCACCCTTTTCATTGCAGATGGAACAACACCTGAATTTGGGAAAACATGGTTCAGCCATCAAACTGATTGGAGGAATAACATTCAAAGCTAAAGAGTCAACTCTTCCAAGGGATCAACTTATATCAACTAGAAGGCCATGCTTGGAATTAATATTATCCCTTGGTACATCTCAACAAGATGGAATGTCATATGACTTTTTTTCTATCAAAAAAGTTGCAGGATTCATCTATCAGTCTCCATGTACAGAATTGTCCAATCATATGTTCTCCTTGTAGCAATTCTCAATATCAGGTGAATGGCGCCAAAAGCAAAGTTCCCTCTGTAAATTGTAACCATGTCTGTTACACATCCCCTTCCAGAATTCCAACTTGGTAGTCTCTCTGGATAAGCTGTAGCTTTTGAAATGTGAAACATCTGAATGTATCCAGACCCGGTATGTTATAGAGGTGTACTGCATCACTGCAATATAGTTTTTCCCAAGTGGTGCATCAAGGCATGCAATTTCAAAAGGTTTGGTTTACATCTGAAGGAAACAGCATATATTCTGTGTTAAATATTTCACCTAGAAATTGCATCCCAAAAGGAAGAGCAGGATCAAAACCTACATACATTCCTCACAAATTTCACAAGTTGAAGATTTGGCTGAAAATGCCTTTGACGTTTAGACGGCTTGGAGCCTTACATGTGCTTGTCCTCTCATTGCTTTCCATACAAATGGAACACACTGTATTTGGGAGATTTGCCATCAATTCCAATACCTGAGGTTGATGAGTACAAAAGAGAAGACATACTAAAAGTGGAAAGGTAGAATAAACAAACAAATCAAAAACCACAACAGGCAGTCAAAAATCCCCAATTTCAACAATGAAAAATATCACTTGGTGCTAGGGATGCCTACCATTGATTAGGGGAATCTGGAACACTAACCTTGAACTTATCACTCAACTCTCTTCTGGAAGTAAAGAGCTAAGATTAGAGAAGTTTAAGGGTGTATGGATTACAATGTATCAATACAGACAATCTGCATGATCCTCTTGACCTCAAAAAGAATGCCTCAAAAGACATTTCATTTCAAGAGTCCTGTACCTAGATCAAGCACATCAGGCTACAGAAAACCATGGCTCACTCTGGGACAGCCTGAAAAACCTTCCAAGGATGATATGAGGGGGAAAATGAAAATGGTATATCCATCTATGGATTCTGTTGGGCCAAGCCAGAAAATGCCAAGAAGGCCATGCATTACCCTTGGACACCAAGATGTTTTTAGCAGAACTTGGAGTTATGTTTCTTCCTTTAAATGTATCAAACTGAAACACTTGGTTGAGGTTTTTGCAGACGGAATGAGTTCACAATCCAACAGGTATAAGGACTGAGCAAGGTGATTTTGATGCCATGATTGGCTTTGTTGAAACTAAATAAAGCAGTCTAGAGAGTCCCCCAACCGGGAGATCCACATCACGTCTTCCTCAGCTTCAAAAAAGCATGGACCTTGAAGCAAAAAATTGAGCAGCTCATCTAACATACAAAACTTAGATTGGTATAACTCTGACCAGCTTGACTTGTCCAAAATTCCAACTACAAAGAATGCAAATCTGTATCTTCCTCCAACACCCATGAGTACAGAAAAATACTCGCAGGTTTATCCAAGGAAGGCAAGAGACATCAGATCACAGACTCAGAAGCATAACAGGGTTGACCGGAATGTGAAAGCTTTGAGAGTTTCAATAATTGTTGAAAACATAAATACCACAAAAATCATTGCCAAGTATGTCAAAACAATGTACTACAAGGTGGCAGGCCATTCCAATATTTTTGGGTCAGATTTTTGTTGACACTTCATTCTTCTTAGCTGGTTTCTAGCAACATCAAAGATTATCATTTCTCTGACTCCCACATTTTCATGTTTTCAGTTTACCTTATGCTTTCAGGTTAATATCAAAAGCTGCTTCTGTGAATGATATCTCTATGCTATGACCATTTAACCTTCAAGTCATGAAAAACCTATGACTTCATGAATTCATCGCGAACAAGTTTCTACGTTATACCAATCATTGGAACTCCAAGTATTCCACGTGAAGAATGACATGTGTACATGAGGAATGCCCTGAATGAGAGTTTATGGGACTTACATGATTGATCCGGAAGCCCAAGGACATCAAGAACTTCAGGTGAATATTGCCCCTCATGACTCATCGTAACTTTGATAAAAAGTCAAGATGGATGAGCGCTTTTCGATAGACGACAGAGTTCGTCGGGCATGGAGAATACCCAACGAGTTGTTATTGAAGTCATCTAGTTTGAGTCTTTGTTTGTTAACTTCGAGGATGGGAAAGTAGGACAGAGAACCGAGGGTTGTGAAAGGTCTTCAAGTCCCGCACAACCTACACTCTCAACCTGTCTCAACGAACCACCACTTATCCTGACTGTTGTCACTAGACGAATGCACCGGACGAATGGCTCCTCCTACAGTTCCTCTTGTCCAACTCCATAGTTCTTCCGAAAGTGAAGTACAGGTACGGCCTTCTGTAGTACCGACCTCGCCTCCTGGTACGAAGCCTCAAGATCCCATACGGATTCTCTTGACCGGCTATGGCGTACGTTTCCCTGCAATTATCATAATTTGATCGTTTCAACCTAAGCTGATTCTATTCCTCTCTCAGCCCTTCCAGACCCACACTGTCAATCCTTCTTTCGAGATAGTCTCTGGGCTTGACTTGTCTCCATTCATTGGCCAGGCCGAGATCTTCGTCTATCCAGAGCCGGTCCGGGTGGCTTACCGGACTGTCAGGAGCCTCCTTCCTCGGATCTTTGCAAGCCACCCAAATTTCGATTACGTGATCCACCTGGGTGTTGCGAAGCTGTCAACCGGATTTTTCAAACTGGAACAAGGCGCACATCGAGACGGTTATGAGAAGGTCGATGTGGATGGGATACGTGGTTGTGACTTAGAGAAGAGTGTTGAGGAAGGATGGGAAGACTGGAAAGAGCAGCAGACGCATATAGCGACATCGATCGATGTAGAAGAGCTGGCAAGAGAAGTGACTAAGAAAGTTAAAGTACTTATCACCTTGATATACAAAACTGACAGAGAACTTGATGCTTTATTGACGATTCTGATTGTTTTTGGGGGAATCAGCTTGCTCATCCGGCTGTCAATGTGGATACTTCGAATGACGCAGGTCGATACCTCTGCGAATATATCTTCTACAGCTCACTTGCTCATTTCAATGCCCATCGGCGAGTACTTTTCCTTCACGTCCCGGCCGGACTTGAGGAAGAAGACATTGCTCAAGGTCGAGCAGTGCTGGCAGAGATCATATGGACGATTATTCGACTGCATCACGCCTGATCTTTTGATTCTGATGGGTGACGCCTTTGCAGGTAATAAGGCAAGGTCTCACGTGAAATGGAGTGAGACCCGAATTCCTTTGCTTAAACATGTTCTTGGATGTCTGCCCGTTGTTCACTCACCTATCGAGATTCAGCAAACCAAACCGCACAGCCTCGTACATTGTCTCCTCTGAATTGGCCATAGATTCGATTTTCTTCAATTCACAAATCCAAATCGTTCAGCTTTCTTTCGGAATTAACCCTCTGTCATCCTACGCACATGTATTCGCTTGTTCTATTTGAAAATTTTATATTCCCTTACATATCAACAGTACTCCTAATCATCTTGCCTGTTCAATGAACAGGTTCACAGTTACTGTGGAGCTTTGTGAAATTCCTTTTTAACTACCTTTTTCCGTCTGGAATCCTGAGATTCCCAAACATAGTCTGTGTTTCTTTTCAACGTACTCTTCACCGTAACTCAAATCAAAGGCGTATTCTCTTGGTAAAAGATTACAAGCACGAGCCTGCTTGCAATGACTCTGTCTGTTCTAAGATATCTATGCAAAGTGTAGTCTATCAAGATAGAATATGGTGTATCGTGTGGCTTTTTAGATTTCGACCTTATCAAGCCCAGGTATGTTAGAGGTATGTATTATTATCCGCAGCTCGGCCGATCAATCAAATACTGTTTCACTGAGGTGCATATCCAGTTGGAAAAGATGAGGAGACGTCTGAAAAAGTAGGCCTGGTTTGAAATAAGATTATAGATTCAATTACAAAAAGAAGTGAAAGACTAGCACTCACTCCCGATATCATAATTCTCTCAAACTAGGTGTAAAATGCCTTGGATCTCGAGATGGCTCGGAGCTTTACAAGTGCTTCTCCTTTCATCGCTTTCAATACAAATGGACCACACATTTGATTTTGATGACTTGTCTTCAAGTCCAATAACTAAGTCTGATAGCTTTGGGGATATACATCTTTTGAAAGCAGCCAGATGTAAAAGACAGAAGATTGAACCACAAAACAGGCAGTCCAGGATTTATAATCTTGACGGTGATCTTGACACTGGAAAAGTATCCCTTGGACCTAAGTGTGCGAACTGTGAAGTGTATCAAGCTGGAAACCCCAGCTTAGATTTATCACTCAACTCTCTACAGGGGAAGAGCTCAAGCTTAGAGAAGTTCAAGGGTATATGGGTCAAGACAGAAGATATGAATGATCCCTTTCACCCCACAGAGAAATCCTCAAGAAACATCCTCAAGAACCCTGCAGCCAGATCAAATGAAGCGGGATCAGGAAAATCGTGGCTCAATCTTGGCCAACCTGAAAATGGTCCTGAAAATTTGACAAGAAACAACCTGAAAAAGATGTGTCCACATGTGGACTCTGTGGGTTCAAACCACCAATGTACTTCAAGAGAACCCTGGCTAACACTTGGACATCAACACAATGTCCAAGCAGGATGTGAAGGTATGTTCCTTGTGTGGGAAAAATCACAGGGTTGTTCTAGCCTTTTGAATACTGATTACTTCACTTTTCAACAGGTAGAAAGATCGAGCAAGTTGATCCTGGTACCAGTATTGTGTCTGCTTCATTCAAGCAATCTGATATAGAAAGCTCCTTCACAAAGATATCCAGCTTGAGATTGTCACCACATAATGAAGACGGCATGGGACTTCAATCAAGAATTTCTAGCAGCTCATCCAATACAGATAGCTCTGATCCACACCATCACCATCAAATCAATCTTTACCAAACAAATGCCACCAAAGATCAAAAAGGGCCTCACACAACATTTCAAGATCCAGCTGACAGTTCCCAGGATGATTTAAACAATTCAGGAGCCGGTGGTCCCAACAAGAAGCATAAAGGTCTAGTCTTGGAAAAGGTACCACATGCAGAGGTAGCAGTTGGTAACAGCCTTCGAAACTCTCAATCTCTAAACAAAACAAAATCATCTTTACAACAGAAGAATTCTGGAAGACCAGCAAAGTTGGGATCGATTGACTCGGAATTTGACTTGGCACATGCAATCAAGTCCATTGCACAATCTAAGAATGTGATCCTCAAAATATTATACAAAGACACCAAGACTTGGTTTTCCAGACTAAGGGACAGGATTTGTGAAAAGGGTGCCAGAGAAAATTCTGGATACATGAAAGGTGGTAAAAACTATGTCTTTGTCACAAGAGCAACCTCCGAGGGACATGTGATCACCACTCTCTTTCTGAATTGCATGAAGCTCCTTCATAGAGATGAACATTCTGTTATGCCAAGTTGGGAGCATGGAATATTAGTTGATGGTTGGACTTTCATACAACAGCTTTTCAATCAATGGATGAGCATGAGCACTGACTTGCAAAGGTGTGAGCAACTCCATCGCTATGATCATATTGATGAACTTCAGCCTGAGGTTCTTTTCAATTATCTGAAAAATATACGTCAACACAAGATATCCCCAAAGTTTTTATGGAGCTTATGGAAGAGATGGTACAGGGATTCAAAATACTCTGAGAAAATATTCCTTGCAACTGAAGAGCACTTTATTATGAAAATACAACAGTTAAACTTGCACAATGGTCACAATGGTATATCAAAGCAAGGGAAAGGACTCATACAAAGAGGTCAGACAATAGATAACAAAGATTATCATCAAAATGTGCTGCAGGAACACATTTTACAATTTCATAAGCTTACAAAACCATCTCCATTTGGGAGAGATTTGGTCATCCTGGCTCAGCATATTGGTAGATTTGAGCTGGATCTCTTGGAACATCATGAGCCAGTTACAGAATGGCTTGAAAGTCTGTTGAAGTATATGGTATCTGAGATTCATGTACAAGATGACAAAAAGAGACATGCTGTGCAAACCATCTCTAATTATGTCAAGACAATGTACTACAGAGTGATTCCAATATTTTTGGGTATATTAAAATTGATGGAAGATTCAAATCCTATGATGGGAATCCAAGAAAGAGATACAACTGTTTCAGATGGGTGGGAATTCATGAAGTATCATCTAGGTCATTGGAGAAAGATTGATATTGGAAGTGTGTTTGGCTTCCCACTTGCACATCCTATTCCAGAAGACCATAAGATTAAAGAAAGCTATAATCAATTTAAAGGAATTCTTTCAATAGGGAACCCAAATCTTGTCCCTTTGAAGAATATCCACCGGCTTTACTACCTCAAAAATGCACCTGCTAATGATGTTTTTGATTCAGATACCATCAATGCTGAGGGTAAAATCTTTCAAATAAAGCTCCAGGAGATCTATTCACAACTTCAAAATGTGTATCTCAGTAATGCTAAAGCAACATGAGTTACTCAAACCTTGACCAAAACTGAAAAATCATACTGATTTGAATGAGATAGTTGAAGAAAATAAGCTTTCAAATCATGATTGATATCTTCATTTTCTATATTTGGAATTGTTCTGGTTCCTGTTTTTATTTTCCTTTCCTTTCCTTTCCTTTCCTTTCCTTTCCTTTTATTTTAGAATGTTATCCAAACATGTGAATAAGGGCGCATGTTGTTTTCAAAACACCTCATGAACACAAAAAAAACAGCCTTTATAACTATATGTAAGAGTCCCACTCACATTCTCAATATCATATTTTGATTAGAGTTTTGATTTTCACATGTCCTGGATCAAAATACAAACACAAAACCCCCCTTTTCTATGTTTTTATTTGGTATAACTTCACAATGCTAAGGATATTTGAGGTGTGGAAAAAATTTATCACTCATGAGGTGACTTCCCAGAATAATCAGGAGAACAGCTGAAATACCAAACCAACTTTCCATGCATTTCTTAGTGTTAAACTTGGTTCATGTTTGATTGATTTTAGGATGAAATTCCATGAGTTTTTAGGGTTGTAATCATTGATCAATGATTCGGGGATTCTATCACTAAGTTTTAAACAAAGAAATCCCACTAAATACTTGCATCAAAGATCGTAAGTAGCTCTAAGAGCAGCATCAGAGGGAACAGCTTCTCTACCATCGATGATACCATCAAGATTTTTCATTATAATGAAAGTCTTCGATTAAGATTGGAACACTCGAGATAGATTCTGAGTTAGAATTAGAGTTATCATTGAACAAGTTGGACATGGTGTTATCAGTAATATGTGTTACTGGATTGTTAGATGGAATAAGTGTGCTTGGATTGAATGTAGAATTGGAATTGAGACCAGTAGGAGTAGAGGATCTTGCAGAATGTAGTGATTCTGGATTGTTGAATTCGGATTCTAGTTGAATCTCGAAGTTGAGAAGTGAAGCAGGAGTACTTGGAAGATCTTTGGAGTTATTGTTACTCATATGAAAGGTAAAGATTGAAGAAAAATCCGGATTCATATTTCACAGTAGCTCTGGGCTCATAACCTTCAAGAGTACAAGCTTTGGAAGAACACAAGAGTTCTCAGTGAAAGCTAGGAGAACACGAGTGTTGTGGAAAAAGCAAAGTACCTAGAGGTACGAGAAACACTGATAAGAATGGATGAGGAAAGACAACATAAAGTAAGAGACACATTGATTCTTATATAGAAGTGAGCTTGTAGAACCAAGGTACATATAAGTAGATTGAGAAGGATGACTAAATAATGATGTCAGATAATGAAACATAGAAATGCAGTTGACATCATAAAGATATTAACTATGGCAAAACAAATAATGAAAAGGTGGAAGAGTTAATTATCTTGATACAAGATGCACTTTAGTAATCCAAAATTGGACCTCATCTGAAAAAAATCGTAATCTCAAAATTTGGTTTTCAGCTAGTTTACAAGGGAAAAATCACCTGTATTAATCATGAGAAGTGCTGTACATCATATTATTGTGTCATTGATCACTTTTAGCTGTGAAAATTACATCATTTATTAGTAACAAGTTCATTACATTACGTCATTATAGGGTTTTTAGGGATTTTTGGGTGGATTTGATTGGTTTTGAGGCTGTTGACCATTGTAAAAGTTGGAGTACATTTTTATATATACTTTGAGATGATTTTGGGACTGTTGTTCCCCTTTTTTCTTTATCATTTATGCAGTTATTATTTTGTTTATCATCATAAACTTATTTTAATAGTACCTGGTCACTTAAATACACCCTTTATTATAGCTATAAAGAGAAATTTACTTTAGTGTTGCAGTCACAAAGACTTATTGGGAATAATATCATAAAAATATTGCTTATTTTCTTTAGTTACCATCTGGGAATAACACTATAGCACTGTTGATAGTAATAAAATTGTGCTTTTGAGTTAAAATTTGTGTGAAAGATATATTTCTCTGGTGCCTTATCAGTACTCAATACAACAGCGCCTTTTCCTGATTGTGTTGTTTTAGAAGAGAAGTCCTTAGACAACTTCTACTAGTCAATTTATTAGTAGATTATCCTCTTCCAGCTCTGTATAACCCTTGTTGGGTTAAAAGTTCTACAGATATACCATTGAGTGATCAATGTTTACCAATAGTTGAAGACCGGATGAAGCAAATAAAGGATGTGCAAAATGAATTGAAGGATTTGATGAAGTTAGCGCAAGATGAAATGAAAATTCAACACGACAAGAAAGTTAACACATCACCTGTATGGAAAAAAGGCACAAAAGTATGGTTAAGTAATAAAAACCTGTCTACCACTAGACCTACGGCTAAGTTCTCCCATTGATGGATGGGACCCTTTGTTATTTCTCACCAAATATCTCAGGATGCTTACAAGCTGGTATTACCTAGGTCTATGTTGAGAGTACACCCCGTATTTCACGGCAACCTACTACAAGAATTCTGTCCAAGCAGTGTCAAAGGCCAAGAACCACCACCACCACCACCAATGATGATAAATGAAGATCTGGAGTATGAGGTTAATGAAGTACTTGGCAAGAGGAAGAAGGGAAGTAAGGTGGAGTATCTTATTAGTTGGAAAGGGTATGATTCAAGTTATGACACGTGGGAGCCGGAAAGTTCACTCAACAACGCAAAAGAAGCAGTAACGGAATTCAACAATAACTATCCTGAGGCAGAAGGTAGATACAAAAGGGTACGGAGAAAGTAAGAGGTTATGGCTTTTTTCCCACTGGGTTTTTCATGCCACCCAGGGAAAGATACTAACCTGCAAGAGGAGGTTGAGACATTAAAGGGGGAGTGTTGTTATGAGTGCTTTGTCATATGCTTATACTTATACATGCTTGTACTGTGTTGGTCTCTAGTTGGTAGCCTGGAGGATTAGAATCCTGTAATCCTCACGTAGCAATTCATTACCTCAGCTAGAGGACTTTTACGCTATTCACCCTTGCATCTCTCAATCTGTCTCTAGTCCTTACACCATGCCTCATGTTGGGACCTCCTTGTATCCAAATTTCAGGGATCAAGAACTTGGCAAGGAAGTTGAAACAAATACAATAATACTTTCCAACTTTTGTTTCTGTTGAGAGAACAAAAAATTATCCCAAACAGATATATCTAGAGTGATGGAGATATTTTTTGGAGACGAGATTGAAATGTAAACTGCACAATCATATGCAAGTGAAATTAGGAAACAATCTAAAGGGACATCAAAAAGGGATATGGGGATGTAGATAAATGGCCAATGTGAAAGCAATACAAAAGTTTAGTTTGATGCAAATACATTGAGGGTAAGATTTTGTGTCAGCCCTAGGTACATATGTATGTACCTAAAGACTAACTTGTAACATATATAACCACTTTCAGACAACTAATTACATGTACATAAAGCTTACAAAACATATGTAACTTGTAATAAATCATATACACTTATTAATTACATATACATACACATTCAAAATGATATGTAATATGTAATTAGATATCAATTACACCTCATAACTCAGTGTCAAGAGTTAAAGAAACTTATATTACATATTACATATAAACACGTATATGTAATTAAGTACTATTAGAAATAATCCCAAATAATAATAATAATCAAACCCTAAACCAAAGTAGGGATGTAAACAAATCTCACCACAGTTAGGTTTGGAGAGGAGAGTATATAAACCCCTCCTCTCTCAGCCTTGAAAGATTTCCCCCCAAGCTTTATTACACACTACTTTTAAGAACACTTAAAGTTCTACTGAAGTAACATCAAGAGTCTTATAAATATAAGACTAGTGATATCTTCATTACTTTAATCAGTTCCTTGATTAAAAGTAAGTAATACTCTTCACTCTTCCCTGGATCCTCTACTATCCCCAAGTAGAACTCTACTAGGTTGGTGACCATATAACAGCCCAAGGTTGGTGACCATAGAACAACCCAGGTTGGTGACCATAGAATAACCCAAGGTTGGTGACCATAAGAACAACCCAGGGTTAGTGACCATAGAACCACTAGTCTAGTGAACTTCAACCCACTCTTTAATCTGTCACTTGAAGATTAAAGGAAGGGCTAGGATCCACCCTTCACCCTTTATACACATTCCAGTATCTTCCATCTCTCATCCCTTTCCTTGTTTATAATTCTTTGTAACTACATTTATATTTGAAATATAATTATAATTACCTGAATTATAAGACCCACCTTGCCCAATTAGTGAGCCTAGAGTACTCAAAAGAGTAACCTACCCTCACATTTTGAGGTAAGATTTTGATTGATCCAATCCAATCCAAACCAAGGAAATATAACAACAAAAGACTTGGGTAAGGCAGACATGTCAAAAGTTGCTCTGGCAGTGTCCTTCATGTTTCATGGATTCATCAAGACTTCAGGAAGAGATTACATACCTACAAAAGTTTGCAAAGCATGAATTGATGGATGCTTGGGATTGAGAAGAAAGGGAAAATCAATCCAATTTCCAAAAACTGTTGAGAAGCAACCATTTGACTGAGGCTGTCAGAAACAGCATAAGCTGACTCAGTTGCATATCTACCCTCTTACAAAAACCTCACACCGCGGGAATTAACTCGTTTGAAACCCCATTGAGTGAAATTTTGGTGTCTGGGTTCAAAATTTCCTCAAATCAAGAGACTTGTTCACAACTCGTTAGCATTAGGTTTGCCAATTTCCCTCGGGCTATACTCTGTACTCTGCTGGCCCCGTGTATGTGCAGTCACATGATAAAACAACAACCCCTTTCACCATTGTACTCACCTTCACCTTCCTTTGTCAAGACTTGATCAACCAAATACAAGAAAGGAGTTCAGTGGGGACAAGATAAGGAGTGAGATCGTTGAACGGTTGGAATTAAAGCTTTTGAGAGTGTGGTGTATGTGTATGTATTGTAGTGTACTCAAGGGAAATTGGCGAACATAATGCTAATGAGTTGTGAACAAGTTTCATGATTCAAGGAAATTGCAAACCCGGACACCGAAATTTTGCTCAATCAGGTTTCAAACGAGTTAATTCCCGCGGTGTCATTAGATATGAATAAATTGCATGTAACTAACCAATTACATGTACTATAGTCATTGATAATAAATCAGCATGTAAGACATAGTTACATACAACTGAATACATGTATGATGTAATAGCTAATTATATGTACATGCTTGGTGCACACACCAGTTATTGCTCTTTTTACTTATATTCAATTACTCTTTTTCTGCTTATCCAATTTCTTTTTTTACTATGTGACATTCAACAGATATAGATTGTTCAATAAAACAAACTACACATAGATCATTGGAAGATGATCCTGTGTGATGTGTTGAATGATGATATTGCTAATATTCACATGCAATCCTAGTTCAAGCTACCAAGATGGATTGGGAACTCAACTCAGTACTAGTAGCTGATTGTCTAAAGCCGGTCTCCTTGGCAAGTGATGACTTCCAAGGAAGGAATTCTAGGGTTCATGTGCTGAAAAGAGAGGTTGTAATTGAATGAATCACAAAGGTGACTCAGGGTTATATATAAGGCACCAAAGGCTATACATGCTAAATTAGTTGATTACACATGCACATCTCATTACAATGATCACATGTGTTTGTCTACGTATCACAGGATATTTCACAGGAGCTGACTACAGTAGCCTCTTTTATCTCTTGATTTAACACTGGCTGTCCACTTTCTGAATAGTTGTTCTGACGGGTTTATAAACCCTTGATCTTTGTCTTGTTTTTGTTCTTCATCCTTTACAATTATAACCAAATTTACAAAGCTTCAACAAACAACCAATCTGTCCATTATACAGTCACCAAATTTCTTTACAATTCCTCTTTAAGCCCTTTTACAATCAGTAGACACAGATTCCTGTTTCATTCTGCTATTTTTACACTTCATTACTATTGTCAGACACCATATTACATATGTAAACCATATGTAATCAGCCTGTAGCGGTCATATATCACGTGTTACATGCTGGTTTCCTTACTCAATAAGCGTCCTTATTGACAGAGGCAATATGGAATTGATAAAACAAGCCATTCAAAGAATAAACACCTCATATACAAAAGAAAGGCAAATGAGGAGGTTGTTGATTGACAAACAAGGAAACAAGAGAGTCAAGTGAGAAGTAGGACATTTGGTTTGCGCAGAGGTTTTCAAGAATTTGGTGCTTTCAAGTTTCAACTGAAGTGACATCTCAGGGCTTGATTATGCACCAACCAAAGCCTACCTTGTATGGGGCTTTGCACCTAAACTAAGGTCCTCTTTATGAAAACAAAGGCTATATACAAGGTATGTCTTGGATATATAGATGGGCACATTTATGTTCAAAGGATATATCAGACTCCAATAAGACTAGAGTACATATTTTCTGTTCACATTGTGAGTACATCAGCTTTACATGTATTCTTCATGGCATATTTTCTGTTCACATTGTGAGTACATCAGCTTTACATGTATTCTTCATGACATATTTTCTGTCCACATTGTGAGTACATCAGCTTTACATGTATTCTTCATGTATGCTTTTCAAAGCTACATATGTACATTCATACAATTTCCTTATATACTTTTTTGCTTGTTTTTTTTGGCGGGAAAAAAAAGTATGTTTAGTTCAAAAAGTATCTAGCTTTGAGGACCTGTTGCATACTTTGCCTGTGGGGACGCTGTGTGGCTAGCAGGGTCAGCAAAATGGTAAACTTCACATCTCAACAAAATATACTTTTGCCTGGTTGTGTAGAGTTTTGAAACAACAGAAAAACTATTAGGGGATACAAAGTAGAAACTGGGAGTTTTTTCCCAGTTTCCCAGTTTCCCAACTCGAGTTGGGAAACTGGGAAACTGGGAAAAAAACCAACCACAAAAAAAAAACCCAGTTTTCTGTAACAGCCCCACCACGCTCTGTATCCACTCTCATCCTCACCATATACCTTTCCCCTTCCCCACATCCCCAAATACCCACCCCTCAATCTCCGCTTTCAAGCATATCAGTATGCATTCCGAGACTGAACTCCCATCTGAATCCATACATACGATCAATTCCTCCTCCGAGGTTGATCTTGATTTTCCTTCGACTCAGACTCAACTCACTCCGGGTCAACTTCAAATCGACCCTTCAACCCTCGGTCAGGTACTTGCCGGTGCCATTCATCTTGCTCAAACTGGAGTTTCGCCTTCCCTCCCTAAGCCATCAAAACCAACCAAGAACATGCCTCGAAACCCAACCAAAGCAACCAAGCCTCGCCAATCCAAAAAAACCAAACAAAAGCAAACTTCGCCCCAAAATTCACCGCCCAAAAAGAAAGCCAAATCGAATTCAAACAAAAAAAAAACTATCAAAACAATCGAAAAAAAAGATGATGATGATGAAGAAGAGCCGAAAGTCAAGGGCAAGAGAAAGACCACCATCCAGTGGGCTCGTGATGATAACGGTGATGGAAAAAGTTCCATGTATCTACTGCTTAACTGGCTCTCCGATGACGACAACTTTCTAAGATTCAAAGACAAAGGATCGTATAAGAGAACCGTGGCTGAAGAAATCGAACAGTACTTCATCGATAATGGCATCTCCTGGAGGAATGCACATGCTATTCAATCAAAGGTAGGTCGATGCGTTGGTTACATAGGTTGATGTCTTATTTATTTGATGTTGAACTAAGAATATGCGTTGTTTTTGGCTGGCTTCAGGTCGAAGTACTGGAAGGCCAATGGCGAAAAGCTAATGAAGTTCGTACTGGTACCGGTGGTGGAGTCTGTGACGCTGCTTTGGAACTAAAAAGGAAACATGAATGGAATGATGATAGCCCTGAGTGGGTCCGTGAAAAATTGGTGGCTTTTGGTAAATGTCTTCTCACTCATCTTACTTTGCTTTCCTACGCTCATTATGTTTCTCTTTTGTTTTGATACACAAATCGATTTAATGTCCTCATTATTACTCAACATCGTAGGGCCTATCTTGAAAGAATGCAAGTACTACTTCGAGCTCGAGCCAATATTCGCGTCACGACACGCCAACACTCGACTTGCCGTTGCACACAACATAGCTCCCGAGACTGAAGATGAAGATGATTCACGTAATCCGTTAGAACATTCACCGAACTCGAATTTAGCATATCAAGATGTTGAAGATGATTCACAGCGCAACCCTTTAGAACACTCGCTCAACTCGAACACGGCTCATGATGAAGATGTTCACATTGAATCAGATGATTTGATGGACAAACTTGGTGAAATGTTTGATGTTGACAAACATCAAACATCTCGCAGCCCTTCGGTTGCTTTGACGCAAACACAATTTCGAGGCGCCACTACCAGCTCGACACCACTCAAAAGAACTGCCTCCAAAAATTCTTTACAATCCACGGTCGATTCAAGTTATCCAAAGCGTTACAAGAAGGGTTCTGCTTCGAAGATTCAGGATCTAGTCGTATCTCAAAAGCTTAGTCGTGGTGGGCGGAGGTCAGTCTCAGTCGACCCTAACAATCACATCAAGGAGGAAGATATAATTTCAAGACATGAAGTGAAGATCGATCGAATATGCAACATGGCTGATAACCTAGCCAACATGTTCCCCCAAGCACCGAAACCTGTCTTAGACGAAAATCAAGAGAAGCAAAAAGCGAAAATTGAACTCGAAACAGCTGAGGTGATGCTGAAGGGAGAAAAGAAGAAACTCGATTTATATGACTTTGATCTGAATGTCAAGCGTGATCATCACGAGCTTGACATGGAAGCAAAACGGGCCGAATTAGAACATCAAAAGACTGCTCGACACGCTCAATTAATCAGCATGTTAATGAAAGAAAACAATTTAACACTTCATGAGGCGGTTAGTGCTGCTCATAGCGCAGCAGGGATTGTTCATCAAGAGAAAATGTAGATGAATGTTTACATAGTGAGTTTTTTCTTTAATGTATCGCAATGATGAAGTCATAGGCTAATAAATCTCTTTGTAGCCAATTTGAATTGGCCCAATCCGATCTAAATGAATATAAATTAAAATATGATAGGGATTTTCTTAAGTTGATAATCATTAAAAAAAGAGAAATGTTTGTATTTTGATATTAATCGAAAAAAAAATGTGCTAGAAGAAGAAATGTTCAAATGGCCTAGATCAAATTACTTAAAAAGTCTCCTCACCTTAAAAGTTGTGTTCTTGTTCTAATTACTTAAAAAGTCTCCTCACCTTAAAAGTTGTGTTCTTGTTCTTGAATTGTTCAGTGAAAGGAAATGCTTTCAAAAAGCTGTTTGCGAAATGATCTTTTGTAAAAGGCTTTCAAATTGCAATGTGATAGTCTGGTTTCTCTCAAACTATTAAAAAGTGCCCATTCGGTCAATTTCTACTAAAGTCGTTATTTTAATTGCCCATTTATATATATATACACAATCCAAAACTGGGAAAGAAAGATCACTCCAAAGTTTGTTCAAACCATGGAACGATCTCATCAACACACAAGAACATATTTATTTTGGAAAAAATTTTCAACACACAAGAACATATAAATTTTGGAAACATATAAATTTTGGAAAACATTTATTGGTTTTGATGGTTAGAAACGAAATCTGCAAACAGCTGTTTTCGTCTTTCTTCGTTACGGTCAGCGGATAATACATAACTTTCATCTTCAAAATGAGGAGGATTTGCCGGTCCCTGGCGGACTCTTGGTTGAACAACATGTGCATCATCAATCGATCCCAAAACCCCTGACCATGGTTCGAAGTTGTCAATAAGAAAGTTGTGTAAAATTATACACGCCTGAATCCACTGATTCGCTCGCAGAGCCGAAGCTGCGTCTTTCACGACCAGGCGAAGTTCTTTCAAAGATTGGAATCGCCCTTTCAACATGCCATTGCAGTGTTCAATGATGACTCGAATGTTGCTGATTGCTCTGTTAAAGGCGTCTTCCAAAGCTCCTAAATTATGACCCCTGACGCGCTTGATACATGGTACGATGATATCAGAGACAGTGTACCCCGAGTCAGCTAATAGATATTCGCCAGGGGAAAAGAATTTCCCCGGATCTTTAAATAGCTACGATGTGCAGATGGAAAGCTGTTAGTTTATTTACTTGAATAAGGAAATTGAAGTATAAAAGAAAAACAAACTTGTGAAGAGCGAAAAACCCGCTGGTCGTGGACACTTCCACACCAGCCTAATTCGTAGTAGGTAATTCTACGATTTACGTCACACACCAACATGGCGTTGTAGGCGTAAAAACACTTGCGAGTCCAATAATCTTCCGGGTTAGCCCGGGGTGCGTTTGATAACGGGATCAGAGTTCCATCGATAAAACCGACGCAGTCTTTGAAAAAACACCGGGATGCAGCTTCTTGCTTGAGCTTTGAACGAGCTGCTCGTGACGGCCACCGAACATAAGTTCTTTCGAGATCCAGTACAGCCAGGACAAAACGTCTGGTCCAGTTGTAAATGCTACCCTCTGTGATAGAATAGACATACATACATCATCAGTTTATAATTAACAATCCTGGATAAAGATAAATCACCTTACTTACCTGAACAATTAAACAATCTAGCCAAATGAAAGTGGTCTCCACCGTTGCCCGAAGTCCCTAAGTTTGCAAGTCCCACAAGTGCCTGCCACCAAACTGGAACTTGGTTGATGTTTGAGTTGTTATGAAACACCGGGTTATCTTCAATCGACTCGACCAGCTTGTCAAAAGAGGCTTTGGACATTCGCGCCTGAAACAAATACTCAGCTACAGCTTTGTAACGGTGAATCAGAGACCTGGCAGTGCGGCTTACCAGCTTTATAAAGCCATCACCACCCTCCAAGACCATCTGGTGAAACCAAGCGTTTCGAAGTTCCATTCGACCACGTGAGTTCCGATTAACTACATATCGATGTTGGTTGATGATGTTCAAAGCTTCGTCAAGCAATTCGATATCGGCAATAGCTTTTGCTTGATTTCGAGCGCCAATGAGTATCACATGATGCGTTTTTGTAAATACCGTGATGAACTCTGTGAATCCGACTAGAAAGAGCCATGCAGCCTTTTGTCGATCCTCGTTTGATATCGCTAGTCGAAAGATGTTAAGCGTTTGAAGCATACGGAGGAGAAACTGTACCGCACCGAGATCGAAATCTAGTGAAGCCAGGATTCCACGTCGGTTTTGAGCTAGAGTTTTTCGTGCATGTCGTTCCGCTTGGATGTATCGTCTGAGTAGTTGTTTACGAGCAAAGCGAGGCATAGGTGGAGGTGATGTGAACTAGGGAGTGAAGTACTGGAACTGGATGTGAATTAGGAGATGAGTTGGGTAGATGAGCTTGTGCGGTGAGAGGACCGGTCGGGACCAAAAGAAAATGAAATCGAAGTTGAGGTGAGGTAGGGTGAGGTGAAGAATTGGGTAATCGGGGATTCAAAGTAGAGAAAAACTGAGAACGTTCTCCCAGTTTCCCAGTTTCACAATTACAGCCAAAATCGAAAACTGGGAAACTGGGAAAAAACGGGAAAAAACTCCCAGTTTCTACTTTGTATCCCCTATATCTCAAAACAATCTCAAAAAAATCTCAAAACAATCTCAAAACAATGTCAGTTCAATCTCAATCCAATCTCAATTTTTGGCCTAGAGGAGCAGACAAACAGTCTTCCAAAATGAACTGAAATAAAATTTAGTTGCATGTCCACACATGAAGGTCTCAGAATTTTTGGAAGGTATGAGTGATTTTCAGATGAGCCACAACCAAATATCCTTCTAAGCCCCTTCCAAAAACTTCTCCTATAAAGCAGAAGGTGACAGCTCTTGATTATATAGATATGTTGGGATTCTTTGTTGGGAAGGAGGTTTCATAATCATAGATATAACTATCATATCAAGAAATGAAAATAGGAAAAGGGACAAGATGGGTGATAAAGTGGTTGTTTTGGTTTGTGATATCAATACATTGGTTTGTTATATATATACATTTTTCACTTGAATGGACAATAATTCATTCAATTCATATCATTTACTATGTTGGGCTTTTCATCTTATTTGTACATAGGTTTTTGATATGTACTTTTGTTTTGGGAAAGTGTATTTTTTACTTTGAACTATAGTAGTTTT